GGTTGAATAAGATCAATCAGCTAGGATGCCGATGCATGCTCACGTGTGGAGCTTTCCGGATACTACGGAATGAATTCTGTTACGCTAGAGTACTATCGAGATGCTAAATGTTGATGATAGAGTTGTTATCACCGTCATGGCGCGATTATGGAGCCTCTAACAGTTGAGGTGTGCCCCACGGTTGGATGAGTAAGCGAGCTTCAAGGACCGAACATCGACATCCGAAAGCTCGGTTACGAATTGTTGTGGACATCAAGCCTGTGTCTGTACCAACGCAAGACAAGGTTCGGACTGTTTACAGGGAAACGCAGGACAACCTAATTCCTCAAATCATCGCAATCGGCAATCCCAGGCAATCTCTTAACGTATCATGGCAAGAGAGCCGGGAGATTCGGGCCACCAGGACACTCATCGGCAGGATGGGATCCACGGAGGCAACCAGCCCCGGGGTGATCCAGGAAGACTTGCGAACCGACTCGAACACTTCACGTGGGCAAACTATACGTTTTCCATGTCGACGGGAGGATTGGCACTTCTCTTGTCTGAACAGACCCAAGCTTATCGTTTTACTGGTCTCCAAACCATCGGAAAAGTTGTCTACGTGTTCGACCTGGCCTTATTCTCTGCGATTACTGCAGCCATCATATTCCGCTTCATAAGATACCCAGGCACCCTGCGGAGGTCTGTTACTCATCCAACGGAAGGCCTGTTCTTAGGAACATCTACTCTGAGCTTGGCGTCGATCATTGCAGGAATTGCTCGTTATGGCATTCCGGCATGTGGTCCTTGGCTAATCACGGCTTACCGGATTTTATTCTGGGTATACTTTGCCATCACCTTTCTGATCGCAGTCGGGCAGTATGCTTTTTTGTTCACCTCCCCAGCCCTGAAGATTGAAGACATGACGCCGGCTTGGGACCTTCCGATCTTCCCTTTCATGCTGTCTGGGACAATCGCTTCAGCGGGCGCTTCAGTCCAACCTCCAGCCCAAGCTTTGCCGATGATTGTGGCAGGACTGACCGCTCAGGGTTTGGGCATGCTTGTCTCAATGTGCATGTATGCGAGTTACATCCGACGCATGATTCAATGGGGGTTGCCGTCTCCGAACTCAAGAGCAGGAATGTTCATTGCCGTTGGGCCACCGTCGTTCACGAGTCTGGCAATCATTGGCATGGCCAGCGAGTTTCCCACTACTTATGAGTTCTTTGGCGACGGGGGACTTACCGTACAAATCCTCAGGGTGGTGGCAACGATGACGAGTGTTTTCATCTGGTCTTTGAGCCTCTGGTTCTTCTCGATCGCCGTCATTGCCTGTCTGGCAGTCTGGCGACAAATGTCTTTCCGTTTGAATTGGTGGGCTTTCGTGTTCCCAAATGTCGGGTTTACGATTGCTGTGCTTCAGATCGGCAAACAGTTAGAGAGTCCTGGGGTGAAGTGGGTGGGTACGATCATGTCAATTCTGCTCGTGGCTACGTGGCTGTTTGTGCTCAGCCATCATGTCAGGGCAGTCATTCGAATGGACATCTGGTACGACGGAAAAGATGAGGACTTCTATGTGAACGAAATGGAACATAGCCACGTGAAACCGGACAGAGTCATAGACCCTGAACATCAATTGAAGCAGGCTTAAAAGATAAAAGTCTTGGCCTCATCTGCCGAAAGATATCTATCATGCGATTACCACGGCATCATGTTCAGACTGATCATTGGGAGCATAGCGACGAGTGGCTAATCTAGACGGCCTGGACTATCTACTTGGCAGTCTGTGTGCATAAGTCATATTGCTGGGTAACACACTATGTTTCTACAGCACTGAGGGAGCATAGCGTTGACCTGCATCAGGTGGAATGTTACAACAGTTGTTCTGGAACCCGCAAAAGCTGACAGTGATTCTCTCCACCTACCTATAGAAAGGTACTCGAAACGGCCGTATGCGGGTGGTTCGTTAGCTGCATGTATGGCGCATATCGTATCGAGAGCTGACTGTTACCCCTCGCTGCTGGTCTCAGCCAGCGCCGATTGGCATTCCTCTGTTGACTCACTTCACTCGCACCTAGCCTACGACAATCAGTGATCATGCGACTCCTTAATACCAGCACGTTGGCTCTCCGTGTGTTCAACACAGTCTTACCTGATTATGCGATACTGTCACACGTGTGGGGCCCAGATGAAGACGAAGTCTCACTCCAAGAACTCCAATCGCCAGGACACGAATGCCGCGACAAGAAGGGGTACTTGAAGATCACACGTTTCTGTGAAGTTGCCAGTCAAAATGGGTATCAATGGGTGTGGATTGATACCTGTTGTATCGATAAAGCGAGCAGTGCAGAATTGTCAGAGGCTATACTCCATGTACCGATGGTATAATACCGCGCACGTTTGCTACACATATCTCGAGGATGTCAGCAATGTAGAGAATGTCGCACGATCGAGGTGGTTCAGTCGAGGATGGACTTTGCAGGAATTACTGGCACCTAATGTGGTCGAGTTCTACGATAAAGATTGGAACGAGATCGGCACTAAGAATGACCTTAAAGAAAAGCTATCTGAGATCACAGGAATCAACGAAACGGCTCTGAAATACAATTTCAATCCAAGTAGATACCCGGTTGCGGTAAAGATGTCATGGGCTTCAATGAGAATAACAACGAGGGAGGAGGATGTGGCCTATAGCCTGTTGGGAATATTCGACGTTAACATGCCGTTGTTATATGGTGAAGGCAAAAAGGCCTTTCAAAGGTTGCAGGAGGAGATTTTCAAGACGTCTGAAGACTATACCCTTCTGGCCTGGAGAAGTCGAGCAAAAGGAACGGGAGATATGGGTAGAGATCCGACGGGGATTCTGGCAAGGTCCCCATGGGACTTCAGAAATCACAGAACCGCCGTAGCAGGACATGATTGGAGTTACGACCAGCTTCTGCCCATTGCCTGGAATCCCTCTAACCCCAGAGAGAGCGACTTCCAGTGGCGCGGTCGCCCGGAATCGCTTCAGATCTTTCCACCACCCTCCGACTTCGAACCTCCAAGGATCACGGCACGTGGCCTTCGCGCTACTCTCCCCTTCATCACGACGATGTCCCCTTCGGATGAGATACACCGCCAGGCTGACTTGGCCTTTCTATACTCAATACGGCAACCCAAAGGGGAGATGGTCTGCTTAGTCCTACATGAGCACGATGACATCAATTCAAGCGGTGCAAAGGGACATTTTTACCGTGCGCTTGGAGGCCCGGGCGTGCATTTTGTTTCTCCCCAGTCGGTGACTCTGAAGTTCAGGACTGTCCACATTCGGATCAAGCCGAGGGAGCAACCTCTCAGATCGGCCACGGAGGAACTAGGCGCGTACACCGCGCTCGTACTTACGGGGGCTACCCCACCCAACAGGCTATATACACAAATGGCACTCAACAGGCCAAATCTACTCATCCATTTTCAACGGGGATCTACCTTCGTTGACCTCCTGGCCAATACCATGCCGTGGGCGGGATGGTGTCTGCTCTCAAAATCTGCGAGCGGTCCATATGGAAATAAACATGAGCAGGGTAGTGAGGCACAGTTGCTAGCAGTAGAAGCCACTAACAGGAGGCAACATTCGCTTCTGCAAATGGATGGGGCTGAAAAGATCCGATGTGTTCTGAGAAGCCGCCCCGAGGGTTGGCTACAGCTTCAAATACCAGGAATGGGACCAACAGAAATGAGGCAAGTTGGTGTGCCCAGGAAGGTTTGGTCACTTCATGTCTGGGTAGAGTCAAATGCAACAGAAGCAAATTTGACACTGAATATTCTCGGTGCAGAATGGTTGTAAAATCTGCATAGGTCGAAACAGGAGACGATGTGTAAGTCATCCTATGCCAACTAATATCAGATAGTTCTCAGTAGGAGCTCTCTCTCAACAATACATAACGCTGAGGATGAGTTTCACTTTCATGAACATGATTACAAGCTGGAAACTCCACAAAAGCCCTAGTTTCGAAAGATTATAACAACAGTGTCACAATGATCAGCACAATGGCATCCTTCTAATCTGAATCACGTGGCCATCTTCCAGCAGGGGCACAGAATGGGTACACAACGAACCTGTCATCGACGGTATACTTGTGTTACACGACACACCTGCAGTTCCTACCCGGCCCCTGTAACTGGACTTCTTGTGCGATATTAGCCGGGAATGTTATAAGAGAACCCGTTTGCACAACGAGTTTCTGCTCTCCTTTTGTTTGCTTAAATGCCCTCAAATCAGTTTTGACTCATTTCGCACAGTTTGCTACTTCATTGCATTTCTCCCTTCCTATCTGTCTGTTCGCTCATCCTCGGATTTCAATACCTTGATCGGCCTTGTCTCCTCTCCTTTGCTCTCTGTTACTCCCCCTGCCCTTCGACTCAATCTATCTGTCCTTCGTCACCTTCCGACTATGCCGCTTCCACGGCCGAGCTATCCTACACGGGTAAGTTTTGTCATTTCTTCTCCCGGACCAACACCCTACCCCCATCATCAAAGGCCATGGCTTCTACAATCGATAAGGTGAACAAGCAGAAGTTGAGCATACACTATGTTATATTTTTTCATAAGAGAAAGAGATGAGAATGTTTCTTAGTCGCGCGTGTTCATTCACATAAGCTATTTGGCTATTTTTGACGCTCTAAGTAGTGGCACTACATCAGTTTCCGCGGGGCCTCTATTTATGCAACCTGCGCCAAGTACACCCACCTCATGCCCAGATAGCGCTCGGACAGTGCTATAGTCTGCATCTATGGCCTTGAATCCATAAAGCAAGGTAGGTAGAAGTTGATTATGAAAGAAAAGAAAGCGACTAATCCACCGAAGAGTAACACGCGGCAAAAAAATTCACGGTCCACTTAACTGGGCCAGTCCCTCGATTCCTTAAACCAGTGTCTGTGGAAGTGACAAAATCCCTCTTCCACTTCAATTGTGAGCCAAAAGTTTGACTGCAGTCCAAAAAGATACATGTGATGAGGCCTGAGAAAAACACAAAAGATAATGCATCAGCCGTGAATCGAACACGGGGCCCATCGAAACTTGCATGGCAACGATGGATTTTACCACTAAACCACTGATGCTGGTCTGGCTGATATTGCAAACTCGGGTGATCCCGGTGGTTGGAGATTTCTCCGTCAAGACAACTTATTATGGATAATGCACGGACTCTTATGTATTCCATCCTGATAAGTGGAGATCCCGGTATGTTCACTAAACAACTTTGGAAATATTAGTGTAACTACTTAATTAAGTAAGTATTGCCAGCGATCCCTGCTTTCAAGCTAATTCGCAAAAATACCTTTGCACATCTACTTGGCATGAGCAGCTAAGCGACAGCCTTTTAGTCGGTCTTCTCGGAGGTTTGAGCGATACTGAGATCTTCGAAGACCCAAAGCAAGTAGGAAGAAGCTTTCCAGGATGGCAATGAACTCTGATTCCTTGTATTTCTTAGTAATCTTCGCCCCTATTGACGAGTTCCATCAGCTGTCCACTGATGTTGTGGTATGGTAACTAGATCAGCTCTTGCTCTTTTGTTAACAATCCAAACCGGCCGCAACTAATTCCCAAATGCGTCTACCCTTATCATCGCGACTGCTGTCTTTTATCAGGCCCTGACTGGCGTGCGGCGTTTTGCACTTGGAAAGGGGGCCAGGGGTGATCGGCTCCCTGAAGGGGGACCGAAAGATTTTGCATCGAATAGCTTCAAGGATCCACTGGCTAGAATACCACAGAAGTCTTCTGTAGTCTTATTTCATCGTGAAAATCATCGAGGAAGTGACAATGAGGGACGCATTCACATTGGTGCAATATGATACCTGGTCTAAGTGTGTCAACAAATTCTGTTGTGCTTACAAACGATAGCCGGCTGGGCTGTCCTAATGCTAATACCTATGAAGCAGCACATAAGGGTCCGTTACTAGCCGGATGATATATCCTGTCAACTCGACGAGCCATAAACGAGTCTTTCCAACTTGCTGCCTATAGAGCTATCCACAACTGCTGACCTAATCGTTCCACTTCCCTGCTCATGGTCTACTTGAAAAACTGCAGGGAATACAAAGCGAAAGTATACGAATGCTATACTTTTCGTCAAACACTACACAGAGAACGTGATTGGCCTACTCATTGATACGACAGCCGAAAGCCCTGCATATTCTCACGGTCTTCGGTCAAAACTAGCTCTCTGTTGTGTGATTGTCATTCTCGCTGGTATCACTGCTGTCCATCTCACACTTTCGGCCAAGACAAGTGGGAAGAGGGGAGTTTCGGTGGGGAAGAGTAATTGAATAAATTAATGCCAGTCTAGAAACTACGGAAGAGGCGTCTGCCAGACGGGCCACAACAGACGCAACCGTTGCTACCGAGAGCGACGCTGCATTGACCGAGGCGTCCGGAGAGCATGCTTTTGAGAATCTCGCTGTTTTGGAGAACGAAGAGCTCATGTTGTTTTTGTGTATTTAGCTGTTTTCAACAACTGGTCGATGACTGGAGTCGGCGAATGGGATAGACAATGAGCTGAGTAGGGGTGATGTAAATCCTCTTACTAAATTACTTGCAGAATATCGAGCTTCTCGATAGTTCCCTCACGTTATTGGCACGTTATAATCATCACCAAAAGTTAGAATATAATAGTAGAACACAGTATCAGGCCCCTCTCGATGCCTTTCAAAACAGTGACTATCGGTAGTCAATACAGTACACTTGCAGAATATGTGTGCGTTGACGTATATCGAACCCAGTTTATCGTTTATGTAATGGGCCGCTTTCTGACAAAGCATATAGGCCTTCCGTAGGCATGATCTGTGTTACCTGAAGCCCACCTGTCGCTTCCCATCTAATCTCTCATATCGGACATGAGTAAATCATGCAAAGACTACCGCCCCCTGGCGGTCCTTGACCCTCTGCGCCGCCACTAACGTATATCTGTGTGTCAGACGTCAGCCCAGCAATGAGACCACCAACAGCGGCTCGGGCATGCCGAGTACTATGAAGATCGCTATCTGCAAGATCCAGGGTCAGTAATTACTTCAATCGTCAATCTTGGCGAGTATTCGGGAGTTCTGGGAGCTGTCTCGGGGGCTTCCAATCTTTTCAGGCAATATTTGCTCCAAGGCTAGCCAGCAGGGCCAGAATATAACTCCAGAATTGCTTACCAGTATTCATGGTATGACGTCTCCCTCGGATCTCGCCACTTGGATCTGCTTCAGCCTTCGCAAAGACTTGTAAGACCTCGCCCCTATCCTGATTCACCTCACCCAAAACCTCTAGGATGGCCCTAGCGTCAATTGAATCTTCCATGAACGTCGATGTGGCCTTTAAAGGACCAGGGACTGGTGAGGATGCCAAGACGAGAATACGGCAGTCCTCAAGCTCAGCCCCGGCGCTACAGCTAGCCACGGCGCTCCAGATTGATTGATAGGTCATCGCGTCTTCGAGTGAGCTCTCTTCGATTTCCTCTAGCGCTACAGCAATCCCTACCGCGCAGGCATACCGTGACTTGGCCATTGACTTGTATGTATCCGTAGTAACCGGCGTCCTTCCCGCCGCATAAATGTCCTGAACCTTCTTGGTGGTGAGAAGCGGGCATTTGATTAATACCAGATGGACGGAATCTTTCGAAGACTCTAGCTCTTTGACCATCTGGGACACTGTCTTGGCAACTTCTCTAGCCTGGTCCGCCGTCCCAATCTCATGTGGCTCGAATTTTCGCGTCCGACCAACAGTTGCGAGTAAACCGGTATTGGCTTCACCGTGCTCTTGGACTAGGAAAGTGACGTGAGGACTTAGAACACCCTCCGTCCCCCCAGAAAATACTGTCACTGAGTCTTGCGGAAGCAGAGGTTCCCAAACCATCGCGCTTAGACTACGAGAGAAGTCATTCACACAGCCATTGCCTGTATGTCGGGTGAGTATATCGCGGGATACTTGGGTGAACAATAATACCTTCGGTCTTCCCAACAAGCCCAATGACCTGTGAGGCACTATATCCGGCCTTCGCGAGTTCCTGCAGTGGTGTAGAGTCTGCCGGCGACGAGACACCAAACTTGAAGATATTCACAGGAGGCATGATGTCATTATGACTTCACGCGCCTTTCTAAGCTCTGATGTATAGAGGTTCAGGACACAGACAATGCGCCGAAATATAGAAGAAACAGTCACTGAGAACAGGTGACAGAAAGAGAGACAATCAGCAGAATATCCAACGCCACTGAACTAGTACACAAGAGACATTTCTGATTAATACAAGGATATGAGATATTACGGGGTTTCGCCACTCAGCAGCGACCGTGCCGGCTATATGCGGCTAGCGGCCCTTATACCTGAGCTTATTATCGCCTCATTACTTACGTATGGCGTAATGTGACTTGAAACTAGATAATCTGGTTTGTATGCTATGCCGAATACATTTTTGACTGATGAATGCAATGCCACTGATGCAACCTGCTTGACGGGCAGTCTAATCGCATCAGCCGTATCGGTCACTGAAGCTAGATACGATAGTAGATCAGGCACATTTCTGACTACTAGCTTGGATACGGGTGTCTTCTTCATGGGTATGGGTGGTCCACAGTTCAAGATTGCCTCGTTTCACGATCATAGTTCGTCCACCACACATTGGAGTGCGATGGGGACGGGGTTGATAGCAATCAGATTTTCGGCGCGACAGAGGTATGGTAAGGTATGGTGGCTTTCCGTCACCGCAAGACTCGGAAAACCGGAGGGTTTATTGACAGGTGTCTTATACTTGGGATGCCGGATAGCGGAGAGTTGGAGATAACACAGCATCAGTTCAAGTTTGAAGAAGAATAGCTATATTGGCATATTTTTAGGGATCGTGTGCTTCAGTTCTCTACCAACTGTCCGCAGAATATCGAGTTTCAAATCTAGCCGTGATAGGACAATCGTATCGCCAGTATGTTTGTCGTCTCTTCCGCTCGAACAAAACAACTCTGACTGTATCAAACACCATTTCCACGTCCCTATCCTAAACTATCTCTGCTGTATCGTTTACCTTCACGGAAACCTGAAATTGGGCGCCCTGACCGCGTGGACCGCGTTCTCCCTGAGCACCGGGCCCGCCAACTTCACCTTGGAAGCCTCGAGGTCCGACTGGACCGGCTAGTCCTCTTTCACCGTCGCGCCTGTAAGCTTGATAAGTAAGGTATATTCAGCGCAAGAGAGTCGTTGCCCGAGTCATGCAACTCACCCAGCTGGCCCTCTTTCTCCAACTCTTCCCGGCAGCCCATCGACACCATGCCGCCCGTCACGGCCATCACGGCCATCACGGCCGTCTCGACCATCACGTCCGGCCATTCCTTGAGTACCTACGGGGCTGTTTTTGGAAGATTGTCAGTTTCTCCATGTGTGTTAAAGTAATCGGGACCAAACGAACCCGGTGCGTCCAGGTTGTCCTTCAGCTCCTGCGGGACCAGCTTTCCCTTGCGGCCCTGCAGGACCAGGTTGTCCTGTGTAAAGTATCAGTAGAAATCTCCGATTATTAGCAGTATCCGGAGTCAGATAGGCACTTATGCATACATACCTGGCGCTCCCATCGGTCCAGGTGGGCCAGGATTCCCTTGAACTAGAGACTGTCAATGAGAGACAAGTAGGACAAGGCCGTGAGGCGGTTGACACGTACGGCCTACAGGACCAATTGCCCCGCGTTGTCCAGGAATGCCAATGGGACCCTACGTGTCGAAGGTTAGTTCTCTTCCACATGAATGACTCCTTACGATTGCCAATCCTTACTTCTGGACCCCGCGGCCCCTCTTGACCGTCACGACCTGGAAGCCCTCTCGCACCTCTTTTACGTTTAGGCCGCTTCAGTCCATTGCAAAAGCATACACTTCGTTCTCTGCGAAGACAGCACCACAGAAACAGAATGGAAGAGAGCCCGAGAGCCAATCCCATCACAACAAGGGCAGTAGTTGAAATCCCATCAGAGTCAGAAGCTGCGATTGGGGTTGCCGTGGAGGTTGGGGTGTCAGTAGGCTGAGCAGAGACGTCTACCTCGGTGTTGTCATTACCGAGAGTGATGATGGTGGTCTGAGTTAACGATTCGCGGGTCACAGTAAGCGTG